AATATGCCACGCCCACTCTAACGCCCACAAACCGCAAAAACCTGTGACGCCCACAATTTGTATGCTAGATAAAAAATTTTAACTGAAATGTATTGGTCTCGACAATACCTATCTATTGGTCCAAAAATTTGCCACGCCCACTCTAACGCCCATAACGCTTAAATCTGTATACCGCCGGTAGGTGGCGCATTTTAATCTCGCTTTGCTACTTGCATATCTCTATTTAGCTGAGTAACGGGTATCTGATAGTCGAGGTACTCGACTATAGCGTTCTTCCTTGTTTTAACCTGCTCTTCTCGCAATTCATATTGTATGCTTTATAAACTAAACGGTTACCCTAAAAATATTAAAAACAGGAAAGGAAGTTAACTTCGCCAAGCCGAAGCTTGTATACCCTTGCAGTTATAATTATTAAATTTAAAAATACAAAAAAAAATATTACCATTAGTATAAGATAATATTTCAGAAAACGCCGAAGCTATAATTTGCTTCATATTATTTTCCCACCAATTTTCTGATCGTTCCTATGGCAGCTACATGATATAATCGTCCGATTTTGATAAAATTAAATTCGAAATTCAGAACTAATTAAAAAATGTTATTTCCAAGCGTAGGAGGTTATATTTTAAAAAACACCGAAGCTATAATTTGTTTCATATTATTTTCCCACCAATTTTCCGATCGTTCCTATGGCAGCTATATGATATAGTCGTCCGATTTTGATAAAATTTAATTCGAAACTCAAAACTAATTAAAAAATGTCATTTCCAAGCTTAGAAGGTTATATGTTGAAAAACACCAAAGATATAATTTTTGTAATTTTTTTTTCCGATTATTCCTATGGGATCTATAAGATATAGTTGTCCGATCCGGCTGGTTCCGACTTATATACTACCTGCAAAAGAAATAAGACTTTAATACTGAGATAGCTTTAAAACTGAGAGACTAGTTTGCGTAGAAACGGACGGACAGACGGACATGGCCTCGTCTTGTCATGTTGATCAAGAATATATATACTTTATGGGGTCGGAAACGTCTCCTCCACTGCTTTGCAAACTTCTTATAAAAAGTGTGGAAAAACAACAGTTAAAGTACAATGTATAAATAATTATACCCGTTACTCGTAGAGTAAAAGGGTATACTAGATTCGTCGGAAAGTATGCGCTATGGGGAATTTGACCACTTTTTTTGGCCTAAACCCATTTTTTGAAAGTCGTTAAAATTTGATTTTTTATCAGAATGCATCTGGATAACATCAATATCTAATGTTTCTAACAGAAAAGTTTAACAGGGCGCACCACTGTTAAGGTATCTGCTGTGAAAGCCTGTTTTTATTTCAACGAGGCGGCAGCGCTGGTAAATCTCCTTTTATTCCTAATAGTTTAAATTGTAAAAAGTGTAAAACTAAACAAAGCACTGCAGTTTTTGAAAAACCATTCAACCAGAGGGATTTGTAACTTGTGTTTGTGACCTTGATGTTGTATTTATTGATTTCAATAAATACTGAATGGGTTAAGAAATGTATTGTATCATTCAAACGGCATTTAAATTACCTTTCCATTGATGCCGAAAGTTGACATGAAGTAAGTTCAAATTATGAGTATATTTAACTTTTGTTTTGTCAAAGTACATATGCCGACCAGTGTATTTGTGTAAATAGTCCCAGCAATCAGCTTTATATTCTATAATCATGGAAGCCAAAAGTAAAAAGAAAAACTATAAAGATATCATTTTATTACGACGGGTTGCGTACTTCCTAAACTCCGTGAAGGCTGCCCGTGTCGAATAACAAAAAGAGAAAAAGGAAGAACGCTATAGTCGAGTACCTCGACTATCAGATACCCGTTACTCAAAGGGAAATGGAGATATGCAAGCAGCAAAGCGAGATTAAAATGCGCCACCTACCGGCGGTATACAGATTTAAGCGTTATGGGCGTTAGAGTGGGCGTGGCAAATTTATTTTTGGATCAATCGATAGGTTTTGACGACACCAATACATTTCAGTTAAAATTTCTTATCTAGCATGCAAATTGTGGGCGTCACAGGTTTTCGCTGTTTGTGGGCGTTTAAGTGGGCGTGGCAAACTTTTTTTTAGGTCAATCGATAGGTATTGATGAGAACAATACATTTCAGTTAAAATTTTCTATCTAGCATCAAAACTGTAGGAGTAAAAGTTTTGGGCGGTTTGTGGGCGTTAGAGTGGGCGTGGCAGTCTACTGAAACAAACTTGCGCTGCGTAAGAAGCTCAGGAATCTGTACGACAAATCTCAATAACCTAGCTTCCATAGTTTCCGAGATCTCAGCGTTCATCCGGACGGACAGACAGACGGACATGGCTAGATCGACTCGGCTAGTGATCCTGATCAAGAATATATATACTTTATGGGGTCGGAAACGCTTCCTTCTGCCTGTTACATACTTTCCGACGAATCTAGTATACCCTTTTACTCTACGAGTAACTATCAGATACCCGTTTCTCAGCTAAATGGACAAAAGGGAAATGGAGATATGCAAGCAGCAAAGCGAGAATGAAATGCGCTACCTACCCGCGATCTCAATATATGGTAGACTGATTTAAGCGTTATGGGCGTTAGAGTGGGCGTGGCAAACTTTTTTTTGGATCAATCGATAGGTATTGACGAGACTAATACATTTCAGATAAAATTTTGTTCTAGCATGAAAATTGTGGGCGCCACAGGCTTAGGCGGCTTGTGGGCGTGGCATATTCGCGTAACAAACTTGCGCTGAGTAGAAGGCTATGGAATCTAAGTCTTAAATCCCAATTCTCTATATTTGATAGTTTAAGAGATATCTGCGTTCACATTTTCAAATTTTTAAAGTTTGTGGGCGTGTCAAAGTTGTTTTGGGTCAAACGATAGGTATTGATGAGAACAATACATTTCAGTTAAAATTTTTATTTTAGCATCAAGTGTAGGAGCCACAGTTTTGGGCGGTTTGTGGGCGTGGTACCATGCTGAAACCAACTTGCGCTGCGCAGGAATCTCAGGAATCTGCATGCCTAATCTCAGTTTGTAACTCTTATAGTTTCCGAGATCTCAGCGTTCATACTGACAGACGGACATGGCTAGTGATCCTTATCAAGAATGTATATGGGGTGACAATTTACAAATGTAAATAAACCAATTCACCAACCGCAAGCAGCTGTTCAGGGCTGCAGTATATAGCTGGCGGGTAATTCAAATTTTTAATTTTTTTTTTCTTTTATTTTGAACAATATGCGCTTTAAACAAGTATTCTTTTTGTAGTTTTGCAAAAAAAGCATAAATTAATAAAATGGTTAAAATAAGTCAAATAACATTCGACAATTATTCAATGTATACAGCCCTGGTCATTAAACGGGTACTCGTAGAGTGAAAGGGTATACTAGATTCGTCGGAAAGTATGTAACAGGTAGAAGAAAGCGTCTCCGACCCCATAAATTATATATATTCTTGATCAGCATCACTAGCCGAGTCGATCCAGCCATGTCCGTCTGTCCGTATAAGAGCTAGAATGATGGGACTCGGCATGTACGTAGATTCTTGGTCTTCCTGCGCAGCGTAAGTTTGTTTCAGCAGGGTGCCATGCCCGCTCTAACGCTCACAAAAGATCATAACACCAAATCCCTTCTATCGCCAACATTTTTCATAATTGTAATTATATCATTTTGTAAAAATTTATATGAGATTTTGTTCTTATTATCAATATCCATTTACAAGCCAAAAATGGTGAAAGTCAGACCGTGCATTAAAAAGTTATAACCAAACAATAATAAATGATAAGCAAACTCAATAGAGTGAAAGAGGGATGGAGATATATTCATACAGCGCCACTTATGTTTTACGTTGTGTGCCGTGTTAGTGAAACATGTAAACAGCCGACAGGAACGCACGATAGGTGACGCTTTTTGATTTGATAGTCCAGCCCGTCGACTATAGGGGTTTCTCTTGTTTTAGATTATAGAATATTAAGTAAATTGTTGGGAGTATCCACACAAAAAATCACAAAGTGGCATATTAACAATAAATTTTGCGTATAGATATGGCGCTGATTGTATTCTACAATTGCCTATACACATTTGAATAAAACGACAACATTCCGCCTAAGGGAGCGCCATGTGTCTATATCAATCTATTACATTTTCACATTTTCAGAAAACGAAAAAAAAGTTCTTTTAAATGCCCAAAAATAAAAATTAAGTTTTCTTGACCTTAGAGCAGTGGTGCTTACTATTCCGTCTCGCGAGTCTGGCAGTTCTTCTGCTCTGCCACGTCACCGACACGGTACACGTTCGTGTGGCTTTGACCGACGACTTCGGTTTACGCACAAAAATGCAAGTCTTACATTTCATTGTATTTGTCCGGGCATCACTGCCTTAGAGATAATGAAAAAACTCAAAAAGTATTTGTATAAGAGGGGCTCTAGTAAAATCTTTGGATAGATTACATACATGCACCTACATATGGGACGATCCATATCAAGTCGGCCACGCCCGTTTTATTTTTAAAGATAGTTTGCACTAAAACTAGTATGTACCTGGCGAACAAAAGACATGACTTTCAAAAATCAAAAGCAAGTGGATTTGTCTTTACATTACGATTACGAGAAAAACAGTGCATTTTATTTATCAATAGAAGACCAAATATATTTTAAATCTAAATGAAGGTTTTAGCTAAAGGGCCAGGCGAAAAAAATACAGGTATATCTTTTCCAAAAGCTCCCACCTCAACGAATTTTATTTCACTTGTTTAGTTTTGATATTTAAAAAAATATGTTTTATTTTTTCGAAGCATATACGATTGCTTTATGTATTTTTAAGAGTTGGCATGGACACAACTCTGTAAAGGATAGACTTAATCCAGATTTGAAAACGCTAAAGTTTTTTACCCTAGTAGGAGAGTCTTACTTATAAAACGTTATTTCTCAGCGAGCACAGGAAACATTTTTCCAAAACACTACAGTAGAAAAAATCGTAAATTTCAATTTGTATTTGTACTCACCTTCAGTTTTGCTTGTAAAAGTAGCATTTCCCGAATAGGTGTCCAAAATTTGTGGAGAATGAATTGAAGTGTCTAAAAACGTTTAGATAAATAATAAATCAGTGAGCAATGCACCTTTACCAAAAACGAACCTGAACAGGACGACGTTGGTCTTGGAAAAATAGCACGGCTAGCTAGTTCTCGATTCGTTGACGAATTTGAAAGATTACTTATTGATGATTGCATGGAAACACTCAACTTTCTGCTCTGAATTTCATTGAACAGTTCCTTTGTGGTTTTAACCTTTTTAACAGTTGAGCCACCAAAAAATATTTGCTGAGACAGGCTAGAAGACTCCTTGGCGATAAGTGCGTCCACACCTTTTGATCCTTTTTTTCTACCCCGCCTTTTTGGAATTTGAGACTGGGAGGCGTTTTCCGAATACTCTGATCTACTATTTGGATCATAACCCATTCCTGTTGCAGGTGTAGCCAGCTGAATCGCAGTTGCATTGTTCAATCGAGCATTAATTAAATTTTCAGACTTCCTTACATCCTCGACAGTTGATGGCGATAGACGGCTACATGATGCACTTGAGTCGTAAGCACTGTATTCATCAAGTTTTCCTGACTCATTGCTTCGAAATACACTATTTTGTCCGGTCAAAAAGCTGGAATTACTGTGGTTTGAAACATCCAATTGGTTTACTGATTTAAATCTGCCAGTAAATGTCAACTCGCTTGAGCTCAATCGAGTTTTATTCTGGGAATTGCCCAATGTAGCATCCCCAGATAAAATTGAGCTCATAGAACTGTTTGAAAGGGAAAAAATTTCTGAAAACCGCATAAAAAATAAATGTATAAATTAGGACATTTTTATGAAAATATTCAAATGGAACGGCAAGAAAGTACGCCTTTAAGAAAGGAAGTTAGCTTCGGCAAGCCAAAGATTATATACAATTGTACTTATAAGAATAGTCAATGGCAGTTACACTTTTTTTCAATTTTTAAGGATTGTGCCTGACACAATCCACAGGGAGAAATTATTATCATTTCCTAGAATATTGAACATGGCGATCATAAATTTTTTTTAAACTTACTTAGATTTACAAAAATCGAAATGTTACACAATTAAAAAATAAAATATACTTTCCGATAAACATTTAGTATTATTTTGACTTTAATTTTCCGATCCTTCCTATTGATGATTCATTACATTAAGTTGCTGCTAGAGAAGATAAACATACTATTTATCATATTTCCGGAATACTCTTGTATATTTTGTTAAGCATTTAACGGCCAGTCCCAACGGGATTTTAACGTAAAGGGCTTTTAAGAGCGACGCGGCACATCGGGAAAACAATCTCCCGCTGCGCAGAAACTTTAAAAATTGTTAAATTAAACTGTTTGCCTCTTATAGTTTCCGAAATGACAGCGTTAACACGGACATAGCTAGTTCGACTGGGCTAGCGGTCCTGATCAAGAACATATAATTTATAAGGTCGGGAACGCTTCCTTATACCTGTTACATACATTCTGACTAATACAACATACCCTTTTACTCTACTCTATTAACGGGTATACAAATAAATACAACTATATCTTACCTGAATCTGCTGCGAGAGCAGTCTGTAGCAAAACATCGCTAACTTTTGTTCCAAATCTTATGTTTTGTGCGACCTGCCCTCCTCTGTCTTTACTTTTTTTCTCCTTTTTCAATTTTTTCGGTCGATAGCTTGGTTTTGTTGGAATTGCAAGGGGTACAGGAACTGTCAAGTTGGATTTTTCTCCTTTCGACGCACAGTTGTTGTCGTTTTCATCGGAATCGGATACAATGTCAATAACAACTGAAGCTTCGTGTATCTTTTCGGCGCTGACGTCGGTTAGGTTAAATACGGAATTCACGGACTGCTCAATTACGATCGGCTGAGGAGAGACCACTTGTCCACTTAGCGCGAGCTGAGGCTGGCGCCGGTCCTTTAGATTGTGAAGTGTCGCTATTGAATTGAATTTCTCCTCGTGCTCGCGATCATGGATATTGTTGACCAGGTTTGAGAAGTTGGTGTGAAACTCGGTATGTACACCCAAAGGTGGAGGCTCGGAAGAGTCGATATTTGATTGCATGTGTGGAACAATTTGCTGCGAAGGCAACGATTGAGAGAACGGCAAATGAGTAACTGGCTCGCTTATGTGGCTGTCTACCGCAGTAGACTTTGGAAAGTCTGATGTTAGCTGCGTGGGCTGGGAAGCAATTTGACTAAGATGTGGCACATTTTCAGCGGCTGTTTGCTGAATCCCCACCATTTCCCTCCACTTTTTCAGCAAGGACTTTGCACGTCGAGCTAAGTGTTCATTTTTGGTCCTCCTTCTGAGCTGATTTATGTACTTGGCCAGTCTGGTGGCCTCCAGCTGCTCCTTGGTAATTGTTGTGCCTTCCAGTGCACATATAACAGAGAGTACAGCATCCATATTGACGACCTATAAACAAAGATTATAAAGACCGATTTGTTGAAAAGATAACACATTTTCTTACATCGTAGTTTTGATCAAGTGCCTGCGATAGGTGAGTGGTAAGTTGCTGGATTTGGTTTTGGTTCATTTATATCTTCCGGGTTACAAGGCCTTTGATCCAGATTCGATGAACATAAAAGGAAAAGGTAATGAAAATAAAAATGTACTTCATATAAAACGTTATTCCTCTTGTCAGTAGTTTTTGTTTTAACATTTTTTGAACAGAAGAGGAGAGTTAAAACCAAAACCATTGTAATTTAAAATGTAGTGCCCAAAAAAAGTAGGTATTCTGAAGACTCATTTATTCAAAATTGACATTGTAATTTATGAATGCAATGAAAATCTGTGAAACACACACACTAAAGCACGATTTATATCGGACAATCGTATAGCTTACAAATTATAGCTACACAATTAAATTGTAAAGTCCCTGATCCCTCGGCACACTTCCTTGAGCACGAAATTGTTTACAGTCGTCACAAAATAAAGTAAATTATTAATTTATCATCAGTTCCCCGACTCCATCACAATTCGCCATTTTCACCATTGACAGCTGCACTTTGCGGGTGGGAAAAATTCGATAAGTAGAAATATCGATACTTTTCACGTGTATTCATTATAATTTAAAGGCCTGTACAGAGTGGGACGTGTGTCTAGGTAAGTAATAGCTTTTTTTCACATAGATCAATCCGCAGTCCGTCAAACGGATTGATTTGATAGGCCTAGTGCTCACATCGAGCGAGAGGCAAATATGTAGTTAACGCCTTTGGTAGGGTTCTTCTTTTTGCACCGATGTACTCAGATAAGCAAGGGAAATACCTGAAAAATACCCACCATTCCTGAGTGAACTTCTATGAATTTCGAGAGCCGAAGCGCAAATAATAAGAAGTTCCTTCCATTTTTAATTTTTTTGTACATCGCTTTTGCACGAACACCTTCAAAGATTAAATTTTTTATTCTTTGGGCAGCGGCTAACGGCGTTCATCACTCTCTAAATCTGGTATTTTTTCTGGTATTTCCTTTGCTTATCTGAATACGGCGATTAAAAACAGACCCGAAGAAAAGAGTTAGCGGTCTTATTGCCTCTCGCTCATTCCTATGGCTAGCTCGCGGTTTTCGTCGATGTGAGTACTAGGTCATAACCAGCTATAGCATGGGTGCTGGGCGACTTCGTGCAGTACCAGCAGAACAACTCCGTTCCCAATCCGGCTCCCACTCCCTCAACGCCCATGTTGGCAAGACAAACGTTAAACATTACAATTATTTTATTTTTTATTTGTTACTTGTAGAGTAAAAGGGAATAGATTCGTCGAAAAGTGTGTAACAGGTAGAATGAATCGTTTCCGACCATATAATGTATATATATTCTTGATGAGGATCACTAGCCGAGTCGATCTAGCCATGTGCGTCTGTCCGTCCGTCCGTCTTTCCGTCTGTTCGTCTGTCTGCCCGTCCATATGAACGCTGGGATCTCGGAAACTATAAGATAGAAAGTTGGGATTTGGTATATAGATTCTTGAGCTTCTTGCGCAGCGAATATTTGTTTTCCCCACACCGAAATTTTTAAAAAATTTTTTAAAAATTTTAATCAGGTTTTGTTTTGATTATTAATGTCCAACTACATGCCAAAAATTGTTTAATTCGGCCCATTCATTAAAAAGTTTTTAGCAAATAAATTGTGCATTCTTGGGAACAGCCGCTTTTCTACTTGTGTATCTCTTTCTCTCTCGCACTTCCTAAGTGCTCCCGATACTGAGTAATAGGTATCTGATAGTCGATGGCGGCGACTAATGCGTTCTTTCTCGTTTTATTTATTATTACATTTTAATTTCTTTTATACCAGGAGACTTTGCTCCAATGGAATCGCTTGCTGTTCGACAACAAGCACAGCTGAACATCCTTCGGCGTACAGTAGGGGTTAGTGTCTTAAAAATTCACGAAAAATCGACTTTAAATTCATGTAAAATATTTTGGGTCTTATTTGTTTCTTGTATTTTTTAAAGCTTGTCCACCACATTATACTCTTTGTGAATAGAGGTGAATAGATTACTTAATTGCAAGTCTGAAGAAGGCATTAAGTGTGTTTTTTTTTTCAAAATGCGAGATCACCCGTTAGGATGCCTATAACAATAATTTTGTTTGTTATTGTTTGTATTGTTTAGTTTTCTTTCTGTATATATATATATAGGGTATCCAATATTCTAATTCAGGTGAACCGGCCGACATTGCTGGTGATAGGAAGGGAAAGGGTCTGCAACAAAGCGAAGGCAAGAAATTGTATTTTGTATTCGATCTATTCTGTTAGCATAAACATTGGCCGGATTTTAGATAAACGATGCATACTCTACTTTGGACTCTACAATTTCAGTGTACAGCGCAACCCTTGTGTAGAGATCAGTAAATAGTTATGAATTCCGCTTAACAAATTCGTACATGGCATACGCTTTGGACATGTTATAAATACAGTGGTCTGAGATTTTACATTTTTAGTCATCACACCCAGATTCCTGTTGCATTTGCAGAGGTTGTCTATCAATATTATAAGACGTGATGAAATTATACTACTGTGGGCAAAAAGTAAGGTAAATTTGCTTGTAAAATGAAAAATCTTTATTTATTCTTCTGAATCCATTTAATTTCCTTCAAAGAAATCCCCTCCCGATAATATATATATACTTATGCCAACGTTTTATCCAATCGGTTAACTATCATCACGTTCTTCGATTTTTTTTATTTCCTCAATCGAGACCAAACCCGATCCCCGGATTTTCGCGAAATGGTGACGAAGAACGAGTGCAGTTTGAGTCCAACCAAGAGTTGTTGGCCTATAATATTGGTCTTTTAGCCTAGTACTCAGATCTTGTGTAGTGTGACACAAGTTTTTAAAGTTCTCTCGCAATGCATGTAGCACGGTCTTACAGTCAAGAAGCTGGGTCTGTTGGCAGACGGAAAACAAATCAATTGGAGCAGTTTAAAAATGAGGAGTATTGTGTAATACATTTAAATGGAATGTTCAACGAATGTTTTTATTTATGTAAATTAGTAGACAAAAGCTTCCTTGTCGTCCCACAGGTCCGAGTGATGTAATGTAGTAATGGCTTCTCCAGCTGCCACTTAGTGGGCTCCTTTTTTTGATTCTCCCTTTAGACACCAGAGCGTTCTCCATCTCCGTTTTAGCTGCCAAGTAGTTGGTGGAGGTGGAGTCCTGTGGTCCCCAAATGGAGACCTCGACGGAGATCTTTTTTGGTGGTTCTTCTAAAAAGATACTTCTATTAGAACAACATAACCAAATTCTTTTGGCCAAAACTGGCAGTATGTCCATGTAGCGAAGTCCCAGTCGGACCCACTTCCCAATGGGCTTCTCCATTGAATTACCTCCAGCACTTCCATTCTTCTGCGGATTAACCCTGTTGAGGTATTTCTCATCTCATCTGAGTACCGCGGAGAAAAACAGATCCGACAATAAGCGTTAGCTCCCTATTTGACTCTCGCTATCTTCTGTTGTTATCTCGCGATTTTCGTCGATGTGAGTACTAGGCTTGAACAATAATAGTAAATACCGTGGTAACCTAAAATACCTTTTTTTTTGGAAATAGCTTAGGCACTTTTACAAATAAAATGTAGTCCCGATTTCAATTTAAGAGTCACAAACTGCTCAATTTTCCATATACGTCAAATTACAAAAGTCGCGAATAAAACAAAAAAACGATAGTGTGGGGTTCAAACACTTTAATTTTTGTTCGGAATAATTTATTTGGTACAAAAAATGGCATTTTAAATGACGAGCTTACTTAACTCAAAAAATACCATGAAATGAATGACTTCCAAATAATAACTCAATTTAGTAAAATGTGTAAAAATAAATGATTGTGAAATTGGTTTTCTTCATGGTGAAATGAGTCAAAATAAATTATTGTATATACTTCTCGATTTCCTAAGACTTACAAATTTAACTGACTTAGTTGTTATCTATGGCGAGCTAGGATTGTCCAAGCATTTATTTAGGTTTTTTTTTTCAAATCTAACAGTAGCCAAGCAATTTGGAGTACAATTTTAATGATCTATGAATGTGCAAAAAAGTAAACAAAAATGCTTGCTTCGTTTGTTTCACGTGCGACTGAAAAGTACATTAGAACGTTATAGTCTGTTCAGACGGAGGGTATTTCTGCTACAGCGACCAAAATCCGCTTCATAAAATTGTTTTTCCATAAAAAGTGCATGCGCTAGAAAGGGAAAGGGAATGTGTCGTTACAACTCCACTTCAGCGGGAAGTGAGACCGCACATGCAAATATATTCAGTATTTCACTTTTTGTTGTCAGTATTTTCTAAAAACTTTTCTTTGGAAGGAGACGCATTTTGGCTCCAATTAGCTATTGCAAGAAAACATGCGTATTTTTAATAACAAATACCAATTCGATTCGAATAAAAACCAATGATCGATTAAAAGCGAGAGTCCCTATAGGCATAGAAAGATGTCTGGGACCGTCCACGATAAAGTCGGTCTATCAACCTTTGGGCTATCTTGTTTTTAATGACCAAGCTTTGTGTCCTTACAAAAGTGAAAGCAGCTCCAATAAAAGTGTTCATATAAAATGTTTTGCAAGGCCTACAACACCCCAGTCAATGCATAAAAATTCTTTGAACTTGAGTAGAAATAATTTTTAAAAATAGGGTTTTTTAATATTACAAAAATTGTTGCTTACCAAAATAAGTTCGCGAGAAGATTTGGTTGTTCTGCTATCCTTGAGGCAAGGCTTTCTTTTTTCCTTGCAAAAAAGAAAGCCAGAAATAGAAATTGGGTCTTTATTTTTCTAAAAAGGAAACCTAAAAAAAACTTTCACAATTCTTGTCTGCCAAACTTTCAAAGCTAACACTTTTGCAACGCAATTAAATACCCTATGTATATATGAACATCTACCTGTGTGTAGAGGGTTATTACTCATTCAAACCCGTATTCGAGTTTTTCATATTCATATGTACACACGTGTTCCTCTTTCCATCACTTTCTGATAAAATACAATCCAAACAGTTTAAAATTTATATTTTAGAGCATGCGCATTTTGATTCGATTGCATTGGTAAAGTTGAAAATTAATTAGGTTAGCTGTAAATTATATTTTTACTGATTGCACATTTTGACATTTTTTTCAAACACAATACATTTTGTGAATTTTATTTTGAAAATATGTATTTAAGATCACCAGCATAATGAACACCAGCAATATGAAAAATCGGCTTACTGCCGGAATAGGAATACTATTAAGTTATTATAACAACATAGCGATGTGTTTACTAAATATACACACGTCATTTTATATAATTAACTCGAAAGTAATCATTAAAATATACGACTAAGTGAATATATGCATACTTATGTATTTAAGTGGCTTCTATTACACTACGTTCGAGTATTTGGACGCATACAAATTTGACATTTACATATGAATCTAATTAAGTGTGTATATTTTACAAATATTAAACGATACTATCTATTTGAGTACTTCTAAACTGGATTGAATTTCTATGGCTACAGCATTGGTGCGTAAATGGCACAAAAATTGCAAGGTTCCCAAGACCGAATGTCTTGGTAACTATGGTTTCACAAATTATCTATATTTATACGCGTGTAATGGCACTTGAACTGAAACTTATATAGCTAAATCAAACAGTGACTATCCTAACCGTTTTGTATTTACAAAGCTGATTATATTTGATTATTTTCCTCCTTTTCAATGCGGCGAACTAGTACGTCTAGTCAGAATTGTCACTATCCCGTTATTGGCTTTTGGTAATCGCCATCTTAATCGTCCAGCTCACGCTGAGATGGCAATTCTCCTTCGTCGGAAGAAAAGCCGGAGGGCGATAAGCTTTCTGGCGGGTAGAAGAACTGTTGAGGGGGCGTGTGCCCACAGTCGTTCCCGTGAACGGTAGAACCTGCTGCAGATGCCATGTCCTGCAAATGGTATACAGCTGCAGCGGTTGCGACTGCTGTTTGAGCACTTGATTCCCCGGGGTGTCCCTTTGGACAGGCATCGACGCAGGCACTTCCTGAGCCACCACTGACTCCGCTTGTCCGGCACCAAAGCTGCCTCATCTCAGCCCGCCGATTACGCATGAGGACTTTATACTCGGAAATACGCATCTTTTTGCCATCCACGATGCAGGTGCGCTTCGGTCGTGGTCTGTAGCGATAATCGGGATGCTGTTCCATGTGAAGTTTCGAGAGCCTTGACTGTTCTTCGTAATATGGCTGCTTGTCGGCATTAGACATTGCTTTCCAGCGAGCACCCAGAATTTTCGATATATTCGAATTATGCATATCCGGGCACGCCTTCAATATCTTTCTTCGTTCGTCTTTTGCCCACACCATGAACGCATTCATGGGTCTTTTTATATGCGGCTTGTTGTGCCCGTGCCCGTGGCTATGGCCGTGTCCATGCCCATGACCATTGCCTTGTCTTAGTGGGTGTGATGACGGCGACGGAGGTACAGAGCCAATTTGACCTGTGTTGATGCTTTCAGGGTCCAGTGCAGCAGATCGTTCTGAATTTGTGCCACAGCTATTTACCGAGTCGCGACTCATGCGCGTTGCACGTGATCCTCCTGAACCGACGACAGCTGAGTTCCATACTCTCCCCTGGAAAGATAAATAAAAAGGGTATTTGAAATTCCGAAGTTTACGCACCGGATCTTTGTTTGACCTGACGACTACTAACTTTGCAATCGTTGGAAAGTATGTAGGTAGATGGATTCTTTTTCGACCGGAAACCGGCCACCAAAAACTAAGCATTGGTGCCAATTATTCGTACTTTTAGTGTACGTCAGAACAAACAGCGTGATTTGCGGGTTGTCGTATGTAGGGCTGCCACCCTTTAAATAGTTACAGTGCTTAGGTTAAGTATCTTCAAGAAACAAAAACGTTTAAAGAAGTCAAAGACATATTAATTGACTTTAAAGCTCTCATTTTGCTAAGTATTCTCTGTTTCGGGTGGCCGGTTATATTCTTGATGGGGAATTACTAGCCGAGTCGATCTAGGCATGCCCACCTGTCTGTGTGAAGGTTTCTGTGTTTCAACTGCAAAGGATTCGTAAAAGTTCTACAGTGATGAACGTAGTTAAGTACTTTCAACTTTAAGATATATGGTAATATCTAATGCGGTCATTTAGAGTGAGACTAAATTTTTTTAAATCTAATACATTGGTTTTATTATTAATTTAGTTAATACATAGTTTATTAAAATTAAAAAGCAAACAAAAGGACCATATTTTCCTGAACAAAATTGTGTTGTCAATATTTGTTAATTTTTCGTTTAAACTTAAGTGTGGTTAGTTTTTTTTGCTAAATCAGCTTCTCATCTGCACTCCTAATAAAATAATGTTAATTTTATATCCTAAAATCGTTTTAGTACTAAAAAATGTTTTAAAAAGTTTTCATTTCATTTAATTTTTAATTTTCAGGATCAGGGCCAATCATATGTCAATACTATGGAATATGTGCTTATACCATTTGAACCATTTGTGGCGTCTTAAATGACCCTTATGGTGTGAAATTGAAAGGCACATGGGCCGACATCTGTCTTTAAGTGGTCAGGGTGGGGAAGAGATCACATAAAAGGATAGGAAAGGAAATAACCCTTAAAAGGCCCAGCCAAGTGCTAGGTACAAGTTTTTGAAAAATCATTTGATTGTTGCACTCTTTTCACCTTCTCATTTAATGTAATAGTCCTTTCCCCTTGCCAAAGGCTTCGGTAAGTTGACCTAAAATCTAGTAACTTGAACAACACATTTTGAAATTGTATTGTTTTATGAACAAAGCCGTTTTTCAGCGGTGCCTTTTTCATCACAGTATTCAGATGAGCTAAGGAAAAGTGTCTGATTTTCCAAATGAATTTCGATGAACTCTCGTTAGCTGCCGCACACACAATTAGAAATTTAATCTTCGCTGTGTTCGTGCAATAAGTGTGTCGAAAAAAATAAAATATGGAAAGAAACACCCAAAAAACACGAAGAAAGTCTGCAGAAAAAATACTCCAATCCAACCTGTGGAGGATCGTCAAGTATTGTGGGACTTAAGCCACTTGGAGCCTGGTTGATGTGTAAAGAGAACCTGGGAGGAGATAGCGCAGATCATGGATAAAGATTGTAAGCTAATATTTTAAATTTGTAGGATATTTGTAAACATGTACAATATAATGTTTAGATAATAAGTGCGAGTTGGCTTGGAAGTCCCTGTGGACAGTTTCAAGTACCACAACCACAATAGAAGCAAGACTTTTGGTAAGGTTTCGTCACGATAGCTTTTAAACTGAGAGACTTGTTTGCCTGAAACGGACAGACGGAAGAAATATATGTATATACTTTATGGGGTCGGAAACGTCTCCTTCACTGCGATGCAAACCTCTGACTGAAATCATTATACGCTCTGTAAGGGTAAACAAATACTCTCTCTCTCTCAAATCTCTGTTTGAACATATATATCTTCATCTTTAGTATTCCGATTACCTTCGGTTACTTGAATTTTTCTTCTTTCAAAATACATTTAAATTAATACTTACAATTTTTTTATAATTAAATTAAATTAAATTATTACAAAATTTTTTAAAAAGTATATATATTCTTGATCAGCATCACTAATCATATCTGCCCATCCGCCTGTCCGTTTCTACGCGAACTATTCTCTAAATTTTAAAGCTATCGGGATGAAACTTTTCAAAAAGTCCTTTTTGTTGTAGGAAGTATATAAGTCTGATCGAGCCTGATTGGGCAACTATATCCTATAGCTGTCAAAGGAATAACAAAAAAAATAATGAACATTTTTTATAGCTGTCATAGGAACGACCAAAAAAATAATGACAATTTTTTTTAAAATTAAAGTTTCGGTGTGTTTGTCTCCTACTCTTAGGAATATTAGTTTCTTAACATTTCAGAATTTCGAATTCAATTTAAAATCGGATAATAAATAAGCGAATAATTTAGTTCGTTGTTTGTGATGATTCAGTCTTTTACTCTGGTACACAGAGCTTTTTTAATATTTACGAATTACGAAAAAAAAATTTGATACAAATCCGACTACGATATCATATAGCTGCCATAGGAGGTTTCGCAAAATGAATGCTAATATTATACCAAAATCGGTGTATTTCGTTTTCTGGCAAAACTAATATGCTTGTAAATTGAAATTTATTTTTATATATTTATAGCTGTATTCTGCTAATCCAGCGGGCTTTTCCAAAAGTCGTAAAACTAATTTTTCTTGTTTTAACACAATTAAAAAAATTCCATGACCATAAGAAAGGCCATTTTTGTTGATTAATAAGTTGCAAAGGTGCTATTTTTACAGCAGTGTGCTATATGTCAAACGCAGAAAACGCATAGGCTATACATTAAACCGGATTCGTTAGAGCCAAAACAAAATCGTTAAAAAGAATTTGTACATAATTAATATACTATGGTATTTAGAAAAATTACCAAGAAGGCGTGCATAGTATTTTGAAATTCCTTTTCAGCGACACATAGCACAAGTAGTAGTTCAGAAGTTACGGACTATTAAAATTTAGCTTTTTATAGCTATGTAAGTTGAAGTTTCTTACATCGCGCTAGCAAACCAAAATTTTTATTTTGAAGTTTTGTTTTTGGTATAACTTTTGAATGAAGTCTCGGATTTAAGGTGTCATTCGACGCTTATTATACCCGTTACTCGTAGAGTAAATGGGTATACTAGATTCGTCGGAATGTATGTAACAGGCAGAAGGAAGCGTTTCCGACCCCATAAAGTATATATATTCTTGATCAGGATCACTAAAGTTTTTTCTTTTTAAAGTCAACGACATTTTTTTACAAATCAAGAAAAAAGAACGCGTTACTTCAATATAGTAATTGATTACCATAAATTAGAATCGCTCTACACCAGGAAAAAATGTCCTTATATCTAGAAATTCTTTTCTAAAAAATATAAAGGCTAACGCTGAAATAAAATTGTTTTGCATTACCTTTTATCGAAATTAATACCCTGACCCTACAATGATAACAAATATAAATATTTTCTAAAAATATAAATATTTTCTGGAAAACAGAAATGTTTGATTTTGCATGATCTGTCGTACCGAAATATTGAATTTTATAACTTGTCAGCGGCCGGGCTGCTGTAGCCGTAGCGCAGACCGTTAAAGCGATTGGTTAGAAATTGATGAAACGCAGGTTCGAGCCCCAGTGTCCCATTTTTATTTTTTAATGAATTATTTTTTGTGTTACTTCTTTTTTTACCCCAATTACCCTTATGTATGGCAAGCAAGTCTTGAAGACAGAAAAAAGGCGATTTCCTTGACTTTATGGTTAATTATAATTTGAGTGTAGTACATACAATGCTTCCATGGAAACGACCTGCAAGGATTTCCTTTCTCGTTTTTACACCCTTGCAGATGGTATTATGATTTCAGTCAGAAGTTTGCAACGCAGGAGACGTTTCCGACCCCATAAAGTAGATATGTTCTTAATCAGCATCCTAGACGAGTCGATCTAGCCATGTTCGTCTGTCAGTCTGTCCGTCCGTCTCTACGCAAGCTAGTCTCTCAGTTTTAAAGCTATCGGACTGAAACTTTCCCAAAAGTCTTCTTTCTTTTGCAGGTAGTATAGTCGGAACCAGCCGGATCGGACAACTATATCTTATAGTTATCGGTAAAAAAATCTAAAAAAACTATTTCTTTGGTGTTTTTTAACATATAAACTCCTACGCTTGGAAATAACATTTTTTGTTTAGTTCTGAATTTCGGATTTAAGTTTATCAAAATCGGACGACTATATCATATAGCTGCCATAGGAACGATCGGAAAATTGGTGGGAAAATAACATGAAACAAATTATAGCTCCGGTGTTTTTTTAACATACAAGCTCCTACTCCTGGAAATAACATTTTTTTAATTAGTTGTGAATTTCGAATTTAATTTTATCAAAATCGGCCGACTATATCATACAGTTGCCATAGGAACGATTGGAAAATTGGTGGGAAAATAATATGAAAAAATTATAGCTTTGGTGTTTTTCGACATATTATCTACTATTGGGAATATCTCTTTTAAATTTAATTATTATAACTGGAAGGGTATACTAACTTCGGCATGCCGAAGTTAACTTCCTTTCTTGCTAACACATTTCTTACGTTCTTGTTGATAAATATATTTGTGTTACCATGTTCCTTCCTTATTTATAAATTTTGAATAACGTTATAAATGGTGATACCCATTTTAAACGGTAAAATTCAGTTATTTAGTTATAAATATACAAATTAGGACATGTACAAAATTTTTGTGATCTTTACTTTATACTTAATATAAATACATATTTCTTAAATCGTCTGCTTCCACCAATTTTATACAATGCTCGTGCCGAATGTAAAAAAATTAGGGTGTATTTTTAGGAGATCGTATAATACATTTTCGTCACAAAAGTTGATATCAGAACTATTGTTTATCTGATATCAAAAGTGTTTGTTTTAAACATCAATCATTTATTTAATCTACTTTCCTAAAAGCCTTAGCGTTTGGATACGCACATACAAATTTCAATGTTTTTCAAAGTTGAGGAATCTCGAGGGTCATACAGTTTAAAGTTGTAACCGAAATCGTTTTTGAAAAATAAAATACAAATAAAAAATTGAAATAAAAAAGATTGTCCATAAATATTCCCGTTACTCGTAGAGTAGTTCAAACATTCTAGCTCTTATAGTTTCCAAGATCTCAGCGTCCATACGGACGGACAGAAAATTGGACATGACTAGATAGACTCGGGTAGTGATTGTGATCAAGAATATATATAGTTTGAGGGGTCGGAAACGCTTCTTTCTACCTGTTACATACTGTCCAACGAATCTAGTATACCCTTTTACTCTACGAGTAACGGATTTAAATATATACGCTTATATACAGTTCTGGTAAAATTACCCTACAAATTTAGAAAATATCTTACCCTAAAATGTATTTACATATAACTAGTTGTCGCTTTCGCACACTCTTACTGTATGGACTGGCGTCCACAGAGATAACCATTTATTTTTTAGTTATATAAAACTGATTTAAAAAATATTCCCAAAGCGAGTAAAGCAGTATCGACAGCATAGTACTCACATGACTCTTTAAAAGAGGCGACTCTATCTCGGCATAATGTTTTTGCCCTTGATGCCAGCTAAGGGGTGGACTGGACACCACGGGAGTAAGGCTTTCGCTGTGGTCCCTTTGAGAAGAACTGTTCGGCGAAGAACTGGGCGATCCCTTTGGCTTACTGAGATTCAATGGAGCATCCATTTCCGAGTCTTGGGCTTCGGATAGGCTTGCCATGCTGTGATTGTCCGTCGGCGATGGTGGAAAGTTCTTGGGACATTCAGCTGTTCGACCATGTGGCGATTCCGGAGGTGTGTTGTGGCTATAAGAGAGGATTGAATAAGGTGGGTTTTCGTATGCTGGGGACTCTGGCCTTGACAAGCAGGCTCCTCCATTCCCGCCCCTTCTCATTTCTCCGATCTCCATTAGTGGTAGAGAGGCGGAGGAGTCTGCGCTCGATGGCTCATTAACACTGGCCGATGAAGGCAGTACGTTGTTGTTGCTAGAAAAATTGTTGCTGCTTTTATTATTATTGGCAGCTGCTACCGCTGCAGCCGCCAGAGCGGCCTGAATGTGCGCAGCCGCCACCGCCGCAGTGGACCACATAGGAGCTAGAGCCATTTTGTGTGCGCTGGATGGCTCATTTAACGGGTGACCGTGGTGGGCGACAGTTTGGGGACTCCCATGGCCGGGAATTAGCTGCAAAAGTTGTTGAGCAGGCATTGGGGGTTGTAGGAAGGCCGGAAGAAATGGAACCAAGTTTCCGGAAGTTATTGAAACTGCCTGCTGCTGATGGTGAGGATTCGGTGCCGCAAATCGAGCTGTCCCAAACTGGCTGTTTAGTTGATTATGCAACTCCTGAAGGCAGCTTTCGTGTTGCAACCTCTGCACGTTTTGGAGGTGTTGTTGCTGTTGAGCACTTGCATCTATGTCGGTCATGCTAACGTAATGGGTCTGAAAGAAGCGAACATAAATGGTTTTCTTGTTAATATGCATCACCAAACGTTAAAAAATATTGAAGCGAAAAAATCAGGGCCTGGACATAGAAGTAAATGTATAGAGTAACTGTTTAAAACAATGGTGCTGTTGGGGACATTGGGGATAAATGCCCGAGTTTATTAGACTAGTTGACTTCTTACTGAAAAAACAATCGAATTGTTAATATCCAAGACTCCGTTCAAAATTAATGCCAAGAACAAGATTTATTTTGTCCCAAAATGTTGTTATTGTTATATGTTGTGTTGTTATAACTTTTTAACTACTTCTCATACTGCTGATTCCGAGATCTCAGCGTTCATATAGATGGTGATGATGGTGGTGAGATAGTGATCCTGATAAAGAACATATATACTTTATAGGGTCGGAAACGTTTCTTTACACCAAAGGTGTAAAGAAACTTTATAGATACTTTCCTACAAATCTTGTATACCCTTTCACTCTACGAGTAACGAGTATAACTAATAACCTTTTTTTTTTAAATATTGCGATTGTTATGTTATTAACAAAATCTATTTTACATTAAAAAAATTCTTCATGAGCGTTTTTAAGAGCGAAGTTGCACTGCGCAGGACGCCGAAGAGTCTACATGTTTAACCCAACATTTTAGCTCTTGTAGTTTCCGGGATCTCATCGTTCATACGGCTAGTATGTTAAACATTTTACAGAATATATGTTTTAAGTAAAGTCTTAACTTTTCGGAGTTTGACTTGAGTCGTGGAGTTCCCAGTTGGGAATTATAAATAACACATCATGGAATATTTGAAATGTTATTGTAGCATACTTTTGTATAAAAGATGTGGATGGAAGATATGTAAGGATAACTATTTTTGACAGTTTATTAACTATTTAATATTGCTATATTAAAATACATTCATCACGTAAACTATTAAACAGTATACAAATCAAAAACAAATACATATAACAACTATTTTAAATTGGAAATAACTATATTTAAAAGTTACAGAACTACCTGCATCGGTCCGATTGACCAAGAACATTTTTTTGTGTGTGGATACTGAAAAACCAACTGAAAGCGATCTTTCACATACAAATTTAAAATCGTTGGTTTTATATATACCCTAATCGAACGGAAAACCGCTCTTAACGAGTTAAAAATCTAGCGACGATCGCACCCTCAACAAACAAAAGTTCTGGTATGTATGTAGTGTATTATTATTCTACTTCTTTCTAAAGACATATAGCACAAGCCTGTAGCTTTAGTAGTTTACAAGTTACGGGTGTAAGAAATGTAACTATTTATAGCTGCTTTCCCGCCAAACTATCGAGTTCTGTGGTTGAACTAAGGATATTTATATTAAGCTGTTTAGTAATACCTAAAATTTTCTGGACGTTAATATAAAGTTTGGATACGAAAAAAAGTTCAACTCTCAGGCAGTGTTAGATGTTCTGAACTGGAAAATCTGGTCATAAGGCACAAGCCTGTAGCTTTAGTAGTTCACAAGTTACAGATTTTAGCCATTTATAGCTGTTCTGCCGACAAACTTGCGAGTTTTTCCAAAAGTGGTAGAACTAAAGTTTTTTATATTAAGCTGTTTAGTATCGTCTAGAATTTTCAGGACTCTAAAATAACGTTTTGCAAACTAACAAACAAAAAAGATTTTATTTTGAGAAATACCCCAAAATCTTGTATTGCGTATTACTTTTGAACGGCGCATCCGATTTTAACAAAGGAGGTGTCACGCGTATTTTAAGTGAGAATACAACTTAACTGATAAACTTGTGCTTTAATCCCCAACGGCCCCAACAGATCAAGTGTTCTAAATTTTCACATTGCACTTTGAATGATTCTTTTAAAGTCTTAGTATGCAAACCGCACCAGGAGATTGTGCAAAGGCGACTTCAAGTTCGAGTGATACGAATTTCGAAAGGAATCAAAAAAAAAAGATTTGCTACCAATGCTTTAATAATTATACCCTTGCAGAGGGTATAATGATTTCCGACCCCATAAAGTATATATATTCTTGATCAGCATGACCAGACGAGTCGATATAGCCATGTCCGTCTGTCCGTCCGTTTCTACGCAAGCTGGTCTCTCAGTTTTAAAGCTATCGGACTGAAATTTTCCCAAAAGTCTTATATCTTTTGCAGGTAGTTTATAATTCGGAACCATCCGGATCGGACCACTACATCTTATAGCTCCCAAAGGAATAGTCGGATAAAAAATTTTTAAAAATTATATCGTTGGTGTTTTTTAACATCTAACCTCCTAAGCTTGGAAATACAATTTTTTCATTAGTTTTGAATTTTGAATTAAATTTTATCAAAATCGGACGACTTTATCATATAGCTGCCATAGGAACGATCGGAAAATTGGTGGGAAAATAATATGAAACAAATTATAGCTTCGGTGTTTTTTGACATATTATCGTATACTATTGGGAATATCATTTTTTGTATTTTTAAAGTTAATAATTATAACTGCAAGGGTATACATGCTTCGGCTTAACGAAGTAAACTTCCTTTTTTATTCTAAGTGGTTGTGGAGAAAGAGCGATGAATGTGTAAAAGTGAAAAATCGGATTAAAATTGGAGCTGTTGTTCCCGGTGATGCTAAATGTAAGTTCCAAAGTTCTGATATCAAATCTTGTGACTAGAAATGGCAGTACCTTCGAGGAAATAAATAATTGCAATGTCCGTCTTTCCGTCTGTCCGTTCCTACGTAAACTAGTCTCGCAGTTTTAAAGCTATCGGGCTGAAACCTTTCCAAAAGTCTTATTTCCTTAAAGTCAAAAAAAAAAACATATAACGTTATATTTCGTTTTCGGTAAACATATACGGTAGTAATTGGAAATGGAACATCATTCTAAAATTTCTGTTATTAGTTTTCAGATTCCTAAAAGCCGGAAAGCTCTGTACATACAATGCTCTCAGGGAAACGACCTGCGAGAGTATAGAAATTTCGGCGTGCTTCCTCGTTTTGAAAAAAAGTTTTGGTGAAGGTTTTGTAGGAATGGCTTTATTACCAAAAGTCGTTACCAGCCTTCACGTAGGCACGGCTAAGCAGCAGTAGGTAGTTTGACTTAGAAACTACAATACGCGAGAGTTCTTATAAATCACTCTCAGTAGTTTAAACAATGTACCGAAACACATTACAAAACATTTTTAGCACAGTATTTTTGTTTATTGACTTGTACCTTTTTTAAATTTTTAAGTATCAAGTAATCACTGAAAAATGACTATTTTGTGGGCATCTGCATCACTCACTTATACCGCACAGAGTGGTTCATATATTCACAACCGTTTTAATGTAAACTATTATTTGCCTTACACGCCCACACTAGCTATGGGTCTTGGTAAATACAGCAGGTGGCTCACCTCGCGCATCGTCAAGAGTTGTGCCATTACAGCAAGCAAGTCAGTCCTGTCGAGCAGTTGAAAAATTTAAATAGGGAGGATGGCCCGAAAGGTCTGCGCCTGATTGGCCAGGGCGATGCGACACAATAGCAAATCGCAGCGTGACGCGTATCCGTATCGGTATCAGTACCCGCAAACGTCACTGCCAAGCGACAGCGTTCCTCCGCCCCCGCCCCCGCCTCCGCCGACACGACCAGGTTGCCGCTGTGCCAAGAGCTCGGAGCTCAGTGCCGCTGCTCTCAGAGGCGGCGTTCGGCACACATTGGCTATCCACTCGGACGGGTATCCAAGTCCAACGAACGTGCTGCTCGCCCCTCGGGAGTGCGATTCCACCTGCCGTACTCTGTGCACTTACGCTCGCCCTCGTCGCCGCCGCCTTGGCGTCTGCTGCTTCTACTGCTCCTGGCGAGCCATCGCGGGAAACTGACGACGTGCGAGCTGAAACATCCGACTGCTTCTGGGGCTGCGGCTCTGCGGCTGGCGGAGCTGAACAGTCAACTGTTCGCGGCGCTCAGGCGCAGCAGTTGCGCACTGTGGGGCGGAACGGCTTACAAGCGGAGACATACACCCGGAAAAAAGAACATTTAGGTGAAGCTATGAACGCGTCACTGAAAAATGACTCGACAGAAATGGGGAAAATGCCGTTCTTAAGTTACCAACACCGTTCATGAAAACATGTATGTGCGTGGGTCTAGTATCTCGATTAACGCTAGAGCGTCCGCCTTTGACACGTGGTACAGGTTCGAGTCCGCGTGAAGACGGTTGTGAATTGTGAGCTTTATTAAAATATTATTTCTAATGCTTGTATGATTATATCTACTTCTAATAATAAACACATTTTTTGTCAGCTAAATAACAGAAATTCACTAAATTCTAGCAATAACAAAACAAAAGCATGAAAACTAAGAACATCTCTACCGGTCCTCCAGAAAATCTATCATGTACAAAAACATAGTTTTTTATATTTTGTTCTTAAGTTAAGCCGAAATGTTCTTAAAATGACCCCATTCGTTCGGAACCCAACCCTAAAGTTTTGGACATTTTGACTCCGTTTGGGCTTGATTTTTGAAAGTTTCAAACGGATTCTTTTCTGGGTGTACATTACATCGTTATTTACATTATAATTGATTATAACAATAAATAATATAAACGAGATTTTGAAAGTACCCCAAGAGTTCGTCTCATTTCGCATTTCTTCTTCTTTCTCTTCTTCCTTCTCTCGTTTGGGCTTCAGCTAGGTTGAAACATTTGTCAATATTGGATCACAAAAAAAAAGAATAAAGGAATTGGGAAAATTATTTGTGTGTCGACTAGACTAGTTTTGCTAATTTTATTAGAGTTTTCAGTTAAATATAGCGCTCGCACACCCACTGTGCAGCTCCGCATTTCACTCTCTTTTCGCTCTTTGCTTCTCTTCCTGCTACTCTTCGCTTCGCAAGCCGACGGCATGGCAGGTCAGCTCTTTCCATCTTTTCATCAGCACTCCCACCCTTTGAGGTCACGAAACTGCTCGCCGAGTGGTTGGTTGGGGATCGCCGTAAATGTGTGTGGGCGTGGATTCAATTGTTCTGCACATACATATTGTTGCACGAATTACGAGAATTGTCTCTCTCGCTCCTTGTATTTCGACCAATGTTCTCCTGCCTCTCTCTCACTCAGGGAAGACCAGGCTCTCCAACCTCCAGCCTCCATCCCCCACCCCCAGGCCCCAGGCCCCAGACCCCAGACCCCAGACCCCCTCCCTGTAGAGCTGTCTCTGTCCCACCCGTGCACGCTGTCGAGTGAATACATGAATGCCGAGAAACAAAACCTTTTTGTTTCTGCTCGACTCCGAAATCGATGGAAAGAAAGCCAAGGAAAGGGCATTGTCCAACACAATCGTACATATGTACACCGAAGCTCCGCCCCTTTTCGTGCAGCGACGTCGCAAGTAGTGGTGGTTACTGCTCCGCTTGTCTCAGCCAATTGTCTCGTCAATTATTTGCTATTGTATTGCAGCATTGCGATTCGGTTGGCGGACGGATAGCAGAAACCGGTAACGTAAGTATGTTTAAAGGAAGCACATGCCTATGTGGACATGACTTCGCAAAGTACATGTGGGTATGTACACTGCCCTTCGGCTTTTTAAACCGTCTCCACTACGTCGACCATGTACGCATGGGCGTAGCTACCAGCTAGGCACCAACCTGGTGGTGGCTCGAACACACTTTGTAAGACAATTTACTGCACAAGCCCACATTGTTGACCCCCAATCACATAACGTATACGAAACGTGTGGAAAAATTCAAAATATCACTTTCCTAAATATGCATGTTGTAAGAACACGAGAATTTATTTATCCGCCCAAAAATTGATTTGTGCGATTGGGGTGAGAAATTGTCTGTCTTTGCTATATGCAGTTACCTTATCGCAGACACAATTACGAACATGATCTGGGGGACTTACCCGTCATTTAAAGAATAAAGGCGAAATTGCTGGCGAAAGGGGCGGGGTGTGTGACCGGATGTGTGTGGAAATCCAATATATATATAATAATGTCTGTTGGGCATTATATTTTGTTATTTAATTTAAGTACAACTTTATGTAAACTTATTCGCTAGTCACAATATTCAAAGTTAAACTTACAACGAACTTAGGGTTATTCATAACAGAAAATTTCCAATGATAAAGCACGTTTTTCTCTCCACATTGCAACATAAACATTATCAGCCGATAATTCAAAATTCGTTTTCTCGACCACACTTTAAATTTTCTTGTAAAAGGCGTTGAATAGTAATTGATAACATTATAAAACAGCCATTCCGAGAGTTTTCCGTAAATCACCCTAAACCAGACTTTTCGAAAATCGCCATAAAAAAGGGTACCAAGGCGAAGGCGAGGCAAACCCTATGCAGCTTTGGTAAAATTTAGCTTGAATTTTCTTGAACAGAGTACGAGTGAGTGCCACGCCCACTCTAACGCCCACAAACCGCCCAAAACTGTGGCTCCTACAGTTTTGATGCTAGAATAAAAATTGGCTAGAATGTATTGGGCTCGTCAATACCTATCGATTGATCCAAAAAAAAAAATGCCACGCCCACTCTAACGCCCATAACGCTTAAATCGGTCTACCGCCGGTAGGTGGCGCATTTTAATCTCGCTTTGCTGCTTGCATATCTTCATTTCCCTTTGGTCCCTTTAGCTGAGTAACGGCTGTCTGATAGTAGAGGTACTCGACTATAGCGTTCTTCCTTGTTTTCCTTTTGTTTTCTTTAAAAAAAACACCTCTTAACGAGGTCGTGACGATCGCACATTCAACATGCAAATGTTCTTATACACAATTTCGTGACAAAAAATGATTGTACACCCGGCTAAATTAATACACTTTCAAAAATGTTTTTTATTCTGCCCGCTTCATCAAAATATTTTAGCTTCTTGCATACAAAGCTATATTCTATTGTAGCTTGTCAAATTAAAACATTTTAGAAAGTCGGATTCTTTTAGTCGTTGTTATTGTATATCAGAACTTTTGTATGTTGTAGGTGCGATCTTCACGACACCTTACCTCGTTAAGAGGTGTTTTTGTTTGATAGTATAAGTTTTTGTTTAAAACATCAATTATAAAAGGGGAGTTCTATACTTTTGCGGTAATACTTATACTCGTATGAACTATTGTAATAGCACTAAAATCAATATGTATATATTTCCGTTGGCAAGGCCAAATCGACTCGTACTGTATGCCGTACTATATTTAAGTATAGAAGCCGTTTTCTAGCTTAAATAAAGTATGTATATTTAGACATCGGAAATTAAACGTAGCACATTTTACGTCTTAATAAATAATTTGTAAAAAAAGTTTTAGTCTTTAATTTTGGATGACAAACTTTTAAATGTTTTTCTTTTACTAAAGAGTACCTAACAATATATTTTTTGATCTAATTAATGTTGCATAGTTTTGGCATTCAAGGTAAGCAAGAAATGTAAGAAATCAAACTGAAACGAATTGCACTTTGTATCGCTCAATATCTTCCAAGGCGCACTTTTGATGACAAAAAGTGTTATAGATCAAAAGTTGAAGAATCTTAAGGGCTATATAGTTTGAAATTTAAAAAGAAATCGGTTTGAACCAATTTTGAGAAAATACCCAAAAAGCTGTTAAAAATAAAAACTTTTATCAATGAGAAAAGGTAGCGTGATTAGCAAATTATATTACTTTTCAGTGACTATATGTCACATGTCATGGCCTGTACCTGTAGCATTAGTTGTTTAGAAACTATAATCCTTTAAAATATAGCTATTTTTTTGATTTCCCGGCAAGCTAGCGGAGTTTTTCAAAAGTTGTAGAACAAAAGTTTTCCAGCTTCTTAATACACCCAAAAGTTCATTTTGGAAAGTTCCCCAAAATGTTGTTTTTGGAATAACTTTTGAACAGCTCCCCCAAAAGCTCAAATTTTCTAAATTCTCACTTTAACCGCTCATTCTCCCAAACCAATAATGTTTTGTAAAGTCTTGGTATGCTAAATTCTTAGTTACGATCAGACCATCACAGCAGATTTTCACTTCTGCTGCTATATATAGTAGTTGCCTTTGCACACTCTCCTGGTGCGCTTCGTCACTACGTTGACTGCCGTCCACAGGGATTCTTTCTGCGACCGTTTCTAATGCTATACGATAAAGCAGTCTGACTTAAAAAAAATGTACTTCCAAATTCTAAAATATTAAAAAAATTATATTCACACGTACTCGAACTTCCCAGACCAGTTTTAAGAGTCATTTCGGAAAGAACTGCACGGATTTGAATTTCCCTCTTTCCCACTCTGTTAACGCCCGAGAAATTCTGACCGATACACTCCGCCATGCTTTCGGCTGGCGGATTTCAATAATATAAGTAATTTGTTTAGAAGAGATCGGAGATTGTATCATTCTCTATTACGTTCTTTATACTTTGGTAAGAATATTAACTAGAGTTCTCTAAAAAGATCATTTAGTTTAAATACTTCTTAATTTTATGTTGAAATTGTGCGAAACGTTTCGGCAGGGATATTTTGATGACTTTGGCCACTTTTTTACTTCACAATATTGCAGAACAAGTGTGAAAACTATACAACACTGCCATAAACAGCTGTCTAAAATAAAAATATACATTGCATTTTATTCACCTATTACATGTTTCTTCGATTTAATGCATTAAATGTATACGCGCAGAGATAAGAACCAACAGCAGCCCAAAATTTAATTGGATTTAATTTGTCATGAGACTGTCGTTGCAGTCAGTTGTTTTATTTCACACCAAAACGCCATTTTTCTAAGAAAATTCCGCAGCGTACAAGGGTATTTAATTCCGATTGAAAGCTGGAATTTGTAAAAGTTTTTAGCGGATTGCGATACAAATGTATAGGTAATAGTTATGATTAATATTAGTTTTCAGAGAGGGTCAGAAGTCAGAAGTTTGACACGCAGTAAAGAATACGTTTC